ACGGCTAGCTCTTATCCCTCGTTGACGTTCCTTCTGCTTTTCCGCTTTCTTTCGAGCGCCTGTCTTTTTCTTTGGCATCTTATATCAAGTAAAATTTTCATATGTTTTTAGTTTCATATGGACGAAAAGTTGGGCCACTTGGCTTCGCTGTGATAAACTTCCAGGCAACCCCCAGGAGAGGGGGGAGGTCTGGAGATGAACTAAGAAACCGCTGACCGCCCAAACAATAAAGGCTACGATCCTTGTACCCAGTCTCTTGGCTTTTTGGTTAGGGCACGGACAGAATGGGGGTGTTTTTGCTGTACTTTCTGATAATTTTCAATTAGAACGTCTTGAGGATTTGGATTTGCTCGTGTGAATGGGCCCAAGAATATGGATATCACCAGCGATCTTCTCTGAATCAGATCTGTAATCATCATCATCATCAATCTTTATCGTATCTAGCGGTTCTTAGCAGAAGGTGAAGTGCTTAGTATATGGGGTTAATCCCCGAACTGAAAATGCATATATACTGCTCTTCAGGGATGACTTTTTAATACAACACTGGTCGCAGTGTTGTCGGGAAACTTATGCGTATTTGCTTGTGGCGCAGTTTACAATCGAGACAGACCACCACAATGGGACCACTGAAGACTACTATACTCTCTACGAACAGTGTCAAGGGTCGAACGGGGCCTTCGGTTCCGAGAAGACCTCAAAGTCTAACCGCCTACATATGTCATTGCAATGTTGTTCCGAATTTTCTGTGCCGGCTTTACTTCAAAATACTTTGGACAAAAACGTCTCTTCTTTAGATGTTCCTTTTTATTTTTCATTATGTCTTTTCCGGGACGGATAAGGATTATTTCTGGGAAGTCATCATGCGTCTGATAGGGGGTTTCGACCGATACCTCGGTCAACTCTTGGTCGACACCCCGGTCGCTATATCGGTCGAGTGTCGGTCGACATTCTCTATAATATACATGATCCTATCCTATTTCTGGAGTCAAGCCATTGTGGGTGGCCCATCCTAAATGTTCTTCAATTGGTATAAGATTTAATGGAGCCGACTGACTAATTGTGTAAGGCATCCTACTGATGAACAGTTACGACACGTAGATATATTTTTTAGCAACTACTATAGTTTGCAATCTGTCCACTTTGAATAGAATAGTTGGATATCACAATGGAATAAACAGTTCCAGATTATTTGCTGAGAAAGACTGCAACACCAGAAATGTCTGTAAAAAAAGCTCTATCGAGACTAGTAGCGCATCTTTACTTCTCAACCGGCGTGCCTAGATGAAACAATGAAAGCAAAACTGAAAACGCGAAGCAATTTTCTTCTGGAATCTCAATTCAAATCGACCCTATTCTCGTGACCAGAAACACTCGGCTTTAGTTACAAAGGAAGAGTGGCCAGTATTAGTGTTGCGCATGACTAAAGAGAGATTAAGCTGACCAATTTAGTGTGAAAAGCCGGCTTGTCACTTAGCGCTGTTCTTTGAAAAAATTTCCTTATTTAAATTCTCAAAGTTTCCCGTATGTAGAATATAGTTTATTAATTTCATTGTCTCCAAAATTATTCGGAAGAAATGAAATTGACTGTATACAAACACGCCGCAAATGAATATAGTCAGGGTAGTTCATCCTTTCATTATTAAGCGTGAAACGTTCGCCGCGTTTACAGACTGGGATAGTGATCGCAAGGAACGAAGAATCGAGAGAATCCAGGTTCGATATGAATGAAGGAGCGCTTCACGTATCAGCTGATTCGAAACGACAATCTAATTCAGCCGAGGGAATTTCAAATCGTTTATCAGAATGTCTACATCTGGTGTATTATTGCAGAAGTCATTTTAGCGAGTCTGATCTACCTCCCACAGACGACGAAGACGAGACACTCGATACTAAATCAGGTCCTTTCTCCCCTGAAAATGGTCGAGGTCGTTTTCGATCCTTTTCCTGTTCAGCAAATTATTCCACCCCAAGAAATAATTCGGCGAAGGAAAAGACGGGAAACTTGCTGCTTGAAGAAAAACAAGTAGATGAAAAGAAAAATAACGAAGAGTTGCAAAATCCAGGTAAATCGACGAGTAATAAACCAAACAATCTTGATCCGAATCCAATTCGCCCATCAATAGCTTTGGACCTCCTTCCCAGCGACGAGGAAGACGAAGTATTCGATGATGAAACTGTTTGTTTTCCCGCTGGCGAAACTGAGCAAGGCCGTTTCAAAATGGAGGTGAGTTCGCCTGTTTCCTTGCTCCAGAGACCTTGCTCCCATCTTCAAAACGACAAAGCTTTAAGCGGAGCTCACGGAGAAGAAAATTACCACGGGAAACTAAAAACGAACGGTATTCAAGGAGTTGGGGAACACCTGAAAAATATATTGCCAGTGCCAGCTGACATACCACGAAGAGCCCGAGCCAATTCAACCGATCGCGAAAAAATTCGCGAAAATCTACATCCAAAACTTCGCAAGCGCAGGTCAAGCGAATCTGATATTCCTCAAGGCAACGAGACGACAAGTCGTGATCATCCTTCACAAGGAAGAACGCGAGCTGGCAGTTGCCATACTCCCTCCAGCTTCGGGGACTATTTTATCCGCCGAAGTCGTGGTAAGCTGACAGAAAACGCTAGCAAGCTGTCCGCAGAAGAAATTCATTCTCTGGAACTCGACATTTTCAAACCGATCGATTTTTATGAAATATTATTTGAGAGAATGCAAGTTAAAGGGGCAAAAACTGCTGCTTAACGGTGTAGAGTCATCTAGTCGATCTGAGATCAACCGGGTCCGTTTTCTAGCAGCGCATCTTACATTCAATCTGTTTCTGTACATAGCGCTTTTTTCTTTTCGTACTTTTTATTTCGCACCAGAATTTTCCACCCAAAAAAACAAACATGACAAATGATATTAGCGACATAGGAGGCATGGAAGAAAAAAATCAAGTTCTTCCAGCAAGACGCCGAAAATGACAAAGACAATGGAGCCTGATCGAAGGTTGGAGCCAGGACACAATTCATTTCCCAAGGCGAGGCAACCGAGTAAGTTTCGTTCCTATAAAACATTCAGCAAAAAATTACATATTTCGCCTCCTCATATTAACGTTAAATTTCATGTATTTTTTGAAAATTAATTTGATATTAATATTATGACTGTGAATTAATGAGTCACTTGCCCGGTGGCTTGTTAACTAGTATGATAACTAAAAAAAATTGATAGGTTAGTATCGATGACAGACTGACCATTGTGCGTTTTTGCTCAAAAAAGGTCTCGTTTTTGTTCTCTATCGGTGTATGATGCCTAAACGGATAATATCCTCATTTCAAACACAACTATAAGTTAAACCAATAAAATAATTAACCAGGCATTAAAGACAGTGATATCACTTTGCAATTTTGCAATGACCGAGAAAATTCCGTTTATTTTTTATACTTTTTAAAGCATATTTGACGACAGAGTGCAGATCAGTCTCTGATTATCAAAATATTTTTTTTATCATGCATTTCACACGCCTAGCAATACTGAAAAAGTGTCGATTGTTTCTTTGCGCTAGGATCGAAGATAGCAAAAATAAAACAGTATCGAAAAGAGAAGTAAAGGCTAATAAAACGTTTATTGTAAAGTATGTAAATATTTTTAAACTTTTGTAAGG